TTAACTCTGTTGCCCTGGGTAGAGTGCGGTGACATCATAGATCATAGCAACCTCAAACTTTGGGCTCAAGTGATCCTCTTGCCTCAACCTCTCAAGTAGCTGGGACTACAGGTGCCCACCGCTGCCACAATACCCAGCTAGTTTTTCTGTTTTTAGTAGAGATGAGGTCTCATTCTTGCTCAGGCTGGTCTCCAACTCCAGCAGTTCACCCATCTCGGGCTCCCACAGTGCTCAGATTACAGGCATGAACCACCGCACCCAGCCAAAGTAAGAGCACCAACTTTTAAAAGTAAAATTTTTCTTACAAAGCTGTACATCTGCCTTTTCCTGAGGAATGGGAAAGACTGCCAACACTTGGCCCACATTCCTAAGGGTCAGGAATTGGCTCCAGCCGAGTAAGGAGCCGGACTTTTCAGCAAGTACCAGTGCAGTTGCTTAAGGTCCCCTCCCTCCCCTGCTCAGAAGGACCCTGCAGTTAGGGTTTCATGCTCTGTGATCACCATCTGGAAATGCTTAATAATTTTTTTCTTTGCATTTCTGCTTTATAAGTGAAGTCTGATGGGAAAATTGGACGTGTGCCAAGGTCTTAAAGTCACAGTTTATGCATCAAGTCATCTCTTGCCACCAACCTACCATGGGTTCTCTAGTTGTCCTGTTCCCCTGTTCCCTATGGCTTGGATCCACAGGCCTTCCTTTCTTTTCTTTCTTTTTTTTTTTTGAGACAGTGCCTCAAGCTGTCACCCTGGGTAGAGTGCTGTGGCATCACAGCTCACAGCAACCTCAAACTCCTGGACTCAAGCGATTCTCTTGCCTCAGCCTCCCAAGTAGCTGGGATTATAGATGACCACCACAATGCCTGGCTAATTTTTGGTTGTAGTTGTCATTGTTGTTTGGCGGGCCGGGGCAGATTCAAACTCATCAGCTCTCGTATATGTGGCTGCCACCTTAGCCGCTTGAGTTACAGGCACCGATCCAGGGGCTTCCTTTCTACTCTCACTCAGTGACTGCTACCACTTTCTTCTCTTCCTTCCTGGGGCTTGCGCACACGCATGGGTGGGGGGCTGGACCAGGCATGCACTGCCCTGCAGCATATAGGGGCAGCCCTCCCTGCCCGGGGCTAAGAGTACCACTTGTATCCAGGGGGTGACTTGGTGGAGGCAGCCTTTCTGCCACCCTCAATCCCACTTACCCTCCTTTGTGCAGGTTGCGGCAAAGCCTTAGGGCCTCCCCAGCTGCGATGAGTTGGAACATTAGCCCCATAGAAAGGGGAGAGGCCTGGCACAATTTCCCTACTCCCAGTGGGGACAGAGTCTCACTTCTGTGGCTGCTGGGAGAGGAAAGCTGATGGGACACTTGATACCAGATGACAGGCCAGAGCCCCAGACACTTGTAAGGGTTTGCTCTCATCCCCCAGGGTCCTCATGCCTGAGGGAGTACAAAAGTAAATAGCAAATAAAAACTCCATGACAGGTTGGAAGATGACAGAAAAAAGGAAAATTTTTCATATTTTATTTTGTACTTTATATTTAATTTTTCTTGCTTTTTCAACAAGGAGCCCCAGATTTTCATTTTGTGTTATGCCTTGTGAATTTTGTGCCTTGTCCTAGTAAGGAGTGATCCCTTTAAACAGGGATATTTACTTACTTTCCAACTTATTACTTGACCACTTCTCTCATCTAGTCATCTATCTGTTCCACCACTTTAGGATTGGGGGCTTATAACCCTGAGGTACATGTTTCACTAAAAAAACAGTGAAGCACAATTGTGTGGAATCTAAGAGCCACTTCCTGCATGGATTTTTTTTTTTTTTTTGAGACAAAGTCTCATTTTGTCACCCTTGGTAGAGAACCATGGCATCACAGCTCACAGCAACCTCTGAAAGTCTGGGGCTTGAATGATCCTCTTGCCTCAACCTCCTGAGTAGTTGGGACTACAGGTGCCTGCCACAACACCCAGCTAGTTTTTCTATTTTTTTTGTTTTTGGACAGAGTCTCACTGTGCCGCCCTTAGTAGAGTGCCATGGCATGACAGCTCACAGCAACCTCAAACTCTTGGGCTCAAGCGATTTTCTTGCCTCAGCCTCCCAAGTAGCTGAGACTACAGGCACCCGCCACAATGCCTGGCTATTTTTTGTTGCAGTTGTCATTGTTGCTTAGCTGGCCCTGGCTAGGCTCGAACTTGCCACCTTTGGTGTGGGGGTAACCATTGTGCTACAGGCGCCAAGCCTAGTTTTTCTTTTTTAGAAATAGAGATGAGGTCTCAGGATCTCCCTCTTGCTCAGGCTGGTCTCGAACTCCTGAGCTCCAGCAATCCACCTGGCTCGGCTTCCCTCCACCTCTACTGAAAACAGAAGCTATAATGATACAACTGCACTGGATCTGGGGTGGAAGAGAAGAGCAAGACCCTGTTCCCACCCACCCCCCAAAAAATCAAAACAAAAGCGTACATTTAAAGGAGCTGGGCACAATGGTCTATGCCTCTAGTCCTAACTACTCAAGAATCTTAGGCAACAGGATCACTTGTGCCCAGGGATTCAAGGCCAGCCTAGGCAACATAACAATACTTCTTACCAACAAAAAGAAAAGAAAAACAGAATAGAGAGAATGAGAGAAAGAGGGGAAGAAAGAAAATTAAAGAATAGGTAGGTCTTTTTATTAGGTATCTGAAAGCAATATGGTAATTAGGCTTATGTGCTTATTTTTCATTTATTTTATATCCCATGGCATGGTTCATTAAAATACTTGGTTTGCACTAGTGTATGAATCCTGACTTCAGATAAGAAACTATTTTCAGTCATTCCTTTTGGACTAGATTATCACAGATGTCCACAGGTACCGTTTATATGTAGAAACAGGATTCTTTATTCTTAGTAACCCTGCTCAGTGCATCTTCAGTGATTTCCCGTCTTGGCCTTCCTGTGCTGTTAGGCAGTACGAAACCATGCTGAGACAACTGCTCAGGCTTATCTGAGACTTCTGTTCCTGAATCCAAGCTGAGTTTCTTAATTTCTGTTCTCCACTTACATAGAATAACAGCCAACCTATGGTGTCGTCTTTTTCAGGGGGATCATGGCTATAAGCAATCCAAAGATACCGAAGAGAGGCTCAAAGTTATTCCCAAATTTTGTTTTCCTGACTCAAAGGACTGGGTGCCAACCTCAGAACTCAAGAGGTAAATAGAGTCCTTTTTCTGATTTCTACTTGTTAGAACTGCAAAGATAAAATCCCAGTATTTGAGCAATGGCTAGAGGCAGGAGGGAAGCTGCATGAACACTGTGGCAGGCCCAGGATGCAGTGGGAGGAAAGGAAGAAGCGGAATTAGAGCATTTCCTGTGTGGGGCTCAGGAAAAAGAAAACCCGTGGAATAATTTCAGTGTCAAAGGGAAAACAAGTTTGAGAGTCTCTTCAGTTTGCCAAATCTGCAGGAAAAATAGAGCCATTTTACATAAAATTAGAAATGCCCCCAAGTGGACAGAAAAGGAAAAGAGACTTGGGCGTTCAACCTGGAAACAGGGACAAAAACTTCATCTTGTTTCTTTTTTGAGTCATGATAGAGGAAGCCACATCCTAGATTACACGTTCCCCTGATGAACTTGTATGAAGAAAGACTCTAGTCTGGGATCTGTGGGTGTACTGAAGGGAGTTATTAAAGAATTTCTGCCAGGGCTGGTCCGAAGGTAGTGAGTTATCCTAATTGATGTTACAGATTGAAATCTTTGTTATTCTCTTTCCCCCCTTTCTCACTATTGTACTTCTAGTCTTAAAAATAATAATAATTTCTGCCAGGCAACTCTACAAGAAATTACTGTTTTGTTTTGTTTTGTTTTATTTTATTGGAGATAGTCTTACTTTGTTGCCCTCAGTAGAGTGCTGTGCCTTCATAGCTCACAGCAACCTCCAACTCTTGGGCTCTGGCTATTCTCTTGCCTCAGCCTCCCAACTAGCTGGAACTACAGGCACCCACCACAACACCCTATTTTTAGAGACAAGGTCTCACTCTTGCTCAGGCTGGTCTCAAACCTCTGAGCTCAGGCAATCCAACCGCCTCAGCCTCCCTGAGTAGTAGGATTGATTACAGTCATGAGCCACTGTTCCTGGTCAAATTACTGGGGGTTTTTGTTTGTTTTTTTGAGACAGAGCCTCAAGTTGTCCCCCTGGGTAGAGTACTGTGGCATCACAGCTCACAGCAACCTCCAACTCCTGAGCTCAAGCGAGTCTCCTGCCTCAGCCTCCCAAATAGCTGGGACCACAGGCGCCTGCCACAACGCCCAGCTATTTTTTGGTTGCGGCTGTAATTATTCTTTGGCAGGCCGAGGCTGGATTCGAACCCGCCACCTTAGGTGTATGTGGCTGGCACCTTAGCCACTTGAGCCACAGGCGCCAAGCCAAATTACTGTTTTAATTAATAAATTAGCCAGGCTTGGTGGCTCATACCTATAATCCTAGCACTCTGGAAGGCCAAGGCAGGTGTATTGCTTGAGCACAGAAGTTCAGACCACCCCAAGCAAGAGTGAGACCCCGTCTCTACTAAAAACAGAAAAACTAACCAGGCGTTATGGTTGGCACTTGCAGTCCCAGCTACTTGGGAGGCTTAGGCAAGAGGATCTCTTGAGCCTGAGAGTTTGAGATTGCTGTGAGCTGTGATGCCACAGCACTGTACTGAGGGCAACAGAGTAAGACTGTCTTTAAAAATAATAATAATGTTTAATAAGCCATTATCACCTAAATCTTGCTTGTAAATCAGTAACAGGTTTGTTCAATGCTATAATCATTGATGATGCTGTTTGGGCTGAGAAACTTGAACCATTCAACCATTAGTTGAACCATTATCACATGCCAGTTAGATTAGAGCTGCTGGATTAGAGTCCCAGCTATTGCTTAATTAGCTGTGTGTGACTTTAAAGGAACATTGAAAGGGAATAAAATAGCTGTGCCTTTCAGTCTCACGTGGCCTGCAGGCTAAGCTGCCATCTCTTGTGACCGGTTTGGGCTCGTCAGCTCTGTCATCTCTCAGCCATCAGTGCTGATGTTCTTGTGCTGTCAGTTGCCCTGCTGGCCAGAAGCAACTGCTTACTGGCCCGCTGCTCCATGTTGCTTCCCCTGCAACAAGTTACGCATTTCTATTCTAGAATATTTGGAAAATGGAGAAGAGTAAATAAAAAGCAGAAATTAGAACTTACTGGTAACTTGGATACTCAGAGATAGTCACTGTAAATATTTTAACATTTTCTCTCCCAATCTATATTTTGGCCATATAGGCCATGTCTATATGTAGACATAAATATTATTCCAATTTGGAGTTTTGATTATTAATGAGTTTCTTTCTTGGGCAGCTTTAGGTCTTATTTTTATAAATTATCTATGCATACCTTTTGCCCATATTTCTAATGAGGAATTGATGTTTTTCCTACTGATAACTGTATTTATCCTGTACAATGAGGATATAATCCTTTGTCTATCATTGTTCCATATGGCTTCTCAGAACTAAATGGAAGAATTTGGAATGGGGAAATTCTTTCATAAGGGTGGTGCCTGTGGCTCAAAGGAGTAAGGTGCTGGCTCCATATGCCAGAGGTGGCGAGTTCAAACCCAGCCCCGGCCAAAAAAAGTAAAAATAAATTAAAAAAGAAAAATCTGGCTCAGCGCCTATAGCTCAACCGGCTAAGGCGCCAGCCATGTACAACTAAGGTGGCGGGTTCGAATCCCCAGCCCGGACCCGCCAAACAACAATGATGGCTGCAACCAAAGAAAAAATAGCCGGGCTGGCGGGTGCCTGTGGTCCCAGCTACTTGGGAGGCGGAGGCAAGAGACTTGCTTGAGCCCAGGAGTTGGAGGTTGCTGTGAGCTGTAATGCCACAGCACTCTACCCAGGGGGACAGCTTGAGGCTCTGTCTCAAAAAAAAAAAAAAAAAAGAAAAATCTTTCGTAAGTTACCTATATATTTGACCACACTGGGCATTCAAAAAAAGAAAAATGGACTTGCCTAATAGCTACATTGTATAAATACAAAAGTAAAAGGAGGTACCAGCGTCAGTAGCATATCCAATACCCATTCTCTCATTCTAATACAAGGCAAGATGTCCTCAAGCCCCGCAGATTCCTGGAGAGGAATGTGACTTGCACTAAATGTGATTTTAATACCACCTCTTACATCGTGAAATGACAGCTGTCGGGCCCTGATTTTCAATTGTTTGGTCCCTGAGGAATACTATACACGGTTATTTGGATCTCAGAGTAACTATTGGCTGTTTCTACAGTGAAACATTCTCCTTTGTACTGACTGGTGAGGATGGAAGCCGGTGGTTTGGTTACTGTAAGAAGCTCCTGGTAAGTACCAGACTTGGGCTACAGATTGGGTTGCTCCAGGAAGAGGAGAGTAAAACTAGGGACTGAGTTTGAGGGCTGCTCAAGGACCTATTTAAAATTGCACACAAACTTTATGGACAACCTGTATATTAATAATAGAAGAATAAAGAATATTAATAGAGAAGTTTGTTAGTTTTAACAACAAGAGCAATGTGGGGATTAGCCACAGAGTGTTCCAGACAATGGAGTGTTCCAAAATAGAAGGGATATGGATTTATTTTATTTATTTGTTCATAACAGAGGAAATAACGACAGACATACTGGCTGAATATCAGTCTGTCAGTGGAGTACAATGAGGCAGTCTAAGGAGCTGAGTTACTCACCCTGGGAGTTACTGAGTAACTCTGAGAGAGAGCTGAGTTACTCACCCTGGGAGTTACTGAGTAACTCTGAGAGAGAGCTGAGTTACCCCCCATGCTAAGGCTCTCTTCTTGCTTAGAATGCCTTCACTAAATCGAGAACAAACCATACCATCTCTCTTAGCACTTTTCCCATCTTTCATTGATCATTGAGCATGAGAGCCTTGGTTCCTGCTCTGTACTAAAGAGTACTGAAAGGGTATTAATCAGGACCAGGTACAGTGGCTCACACCTGTAATTCCAGCACCCTGGGAGGCCAAGGCTGGTGAATTGCTTGAACTCTTGAGTTCGAGCTCTGAGCAAGATGGAAACCCCATCTCTAAAAATAAAAAAGAAAAAACTAGCCAGACATGTGATGGGCACCTGTACCTAGGGAGACAGAGGCAAGAGAATCACTTGAGCCCAAGAATTTGAGGTCATAAGTGAGCTATGACCCCATGGCACTCTACCAGGGGCAAGAAAGTGAGACTGTATGTCAAAAAAAAAAAAAAAAAGAAAAGAAGAGAAAGAGAGTATTAATCCAAATTACCAACACTTGAGCTGCTTGGTTGTTTTGTTTTGTTTTGTTTTTTCTTTTCTTTTAGCCAGAAGGCAAAGGAAAACGACTCCCTGAAGTATACTGCATGGTTAGTCGCCTAGGCTGTTTCAATCTTTTTTCAAAGGTGAGTGGAGAAGGGGCTCTATGAAAAGTGGTATTCTTTCTGAGTTCTCAATGTTAAGGGGCATAGACTTTAACCTCTTGTGTTAGAAAGGTTAGTTTGTTAGGGATCACGGGGCTTAAAGGCTCAAATTTAGATCTCTAATCCAGCCACTGGTGTTATTTTGTCCTCATTTTGGTTTGCTGAAACTCCCAGCTTAAGGGAGACTATAACCTAAAGTTTGTCTTGTCTCATGTCTCTCCTGGATGCCAAAGTGGAGGATAGCATTGTCAGGGTCACTTTCTTTTTCTTTTTTTTTTTTTGCAGTTTCTGGCCGGGGCTGGGTTTGAACCTGCCACCTCCAGCATATGGGGCTGGCGCCCTACTTCTTTGAGCCACAGGTGCCACCCCAGGATCACTTTCTTTGCCCCTCTCTTAGTAAAATGAAAAGGGGTCCTTATCTAAAAATAAGTTGATTTATGTTAGTAAGTTTGGGGGGGTGTAATAAAGATACCCCCGAAGAGATACGATGCTAATGGAACTTTTGTTGGTTGCAGAAGCTTATCGGTCTTAAATTCTTTTGGTGTGATTTTCAAGTTTGTATACCAAGGTAGGAAGTTCCTGTAATAGGATCCTTTTATGTATTTTAACTGAGTCCGTAACAGAGTAACTTTGTGTGTGTAGATTCTGGATGAAGTAGAGAAGAGAAGAGAAATGTCTCCAGCCCTTGTTTACCCATTCATGCAAAGTGTCATGGAAGCTCCCTTCCCAGCTCCTGGACGCACTATCACCGTTAAGAGCTACCTCCCTGGGGCTGGAGATGGGGTAAGTTAGCTCATTTTGAAATGGTTTCATAGCCAGCAAAAAGCAGGACTTACACTAACAGACAGAGTTTGCAAAAGCCCAAGGGCATCCATAGTTTTTTCTTTTTTCATAAACCGTGAAAAAAAATATTTTAGCCCCATTAAGCACTGGAGAAATATCTACTTGACCTGTGACATAGTTGTTCCTAGACCTGGTATGCAGAGATTTTCTACCATACACTGATTGAGCCCCTTCGGAATAACAGTTGCAGTGTATGAAGATTATATTGCAATTGTGCATATTCAGTTGCACATATGCAATTGAATATATAAAGAGTATACATACTATTGTCAGATGGAATAAAGGATTTTACCATACATTTACAGCAGAAAATAAACTATGTCACTTGGGATCAGTGTAGACAACCCCACACACTGTATGGGAAACCCTCTTTCTTGCCCATAACTTACATGAGAATGGCGGGATCCATTCATATCTTTAGGGATTGTTTTCCAACATCAGCTTCCCTGATTCAGATTCTTGCATTTCAGTCAATTGAACTCTGCCGACCGCTAGACTCCCGACTGGAACATGTCGATTTTGAATGTCTCTTTAAATGCCTGAGCGTGTGTCATCTCATCCGAGTCTGTGCTTCTCTCCTTTTGGAGCGTAGGGTAATCTTTGTTGCCAACAGCCTAAGGTGAGAATAAATGGAATATGTCAATTCATAGTGGGGTTTTATTATTCTTAGTATTTTAAAATTTGGGCATTTTAAAATACTTTAGGATTGATGAAAAATAACTCAGTAATGGTCCGTCTACCCCTCCTAGAAGGTTTTACAGGGTCTTATGTAGCATGCAGTGTATTATATAGTGCTTAATAAAAATGAAAAACGTTTAGGATCCGTGTCTCATTTACCTAATGGTATAGTGACATGGGTAGTTCTAAATAAACAAAACTTCATGTGTGTTAGGCTATACCAATGACTTTTTTGAGTTATAATAAATGCATCTTACTTAAATTTTTATTAAAAATTGGTAACACCTGTGGCTCAGTGGGTGGGGCACTGGCTCCATATACCGAGGGTGCAGGTTTGAGCCTGGCCCTGGCCAAACTGCAACAAAAAAATGGTTGGGCGTTGTGGCAGGTGCCTATAGTCCCAGCTACTCGGGAGGCTGAGGCAAGAGAATTGCCTAAGCCCAGGAGTTGGAGGTTGCTGTGAGCTGTGATGCTACAGCACTCTACTGAGGGCAACAAAGTGAAACTGTCTCACAAAAAAAAAATTGGTAATAATTTTTTAAATACACTGTTTTTTAGCATGATGTGGGAAAAAGCTGGATTGAGATTAAACATTGTGAATAAATTAAGTTTGATTTTTTTTAAGGTTTTTGGGGGTTTGTTCTGGGTTTTTTTTTAGAGATAGAGTCTCACCTTATTGCCCTTAGTAGAGTGCTTTGGTGTCACAGCTCACAGCAACTTCCAGCTCTTGGGGTTAGGCGATTGTCTTGCCTCAGCCTCCCGAGTAGCTGGGACTACCAGAACACCCAGCTATTTTTTTTGTTGCAGTTTGGCTGGGGCCAGGTTTGAACCTGCCACCCTCCGTATGTGGGACTGGCGCCCTACTTGCTGAGCCACAGGCACCATCCAATTAAGTTTGAGTTTTAAGTAAAAATGTTAAAAGGTAATGAGAATTCACAGAGTTGTTAATCTGTGATCACTAACTAGCATCTGCTTTATAATTCTTTAACATGTATCTAGAACACCCTCCATATGCTACTGTATATGTGACATGCCCTTTGCTTTCTCCTCTGTCTAGTACTCTGTCCAAATGTGGCCATGCTGTGGTAGCCACACTGTATCCATTCACCTGGCAGCATACCTACATCCCAGTCCTGCCAGTATCTATGATCGACATTGTGTGCTCACCGACTCCATTCCTTATTGGAATCCTGTCTTGCTCCTTACCACAGCTCCAGGATCTACCCATTGAGGAGGTGAGATGGAAGAAATAGTGCCTGTGGAAAATATTAGAACATTGACAAATGAAAATAAGTGCTCTTTAAGAGTGGTAGAATTGTTACTTGTTAATGTTAAAATATCCTTAATATATTATGCTATATTTTTGGTATCTTTTATTAACATAGGAAAAATTCTATGGTACACATGAATCCAAACTTGTGTCTTATTTACAGTAAACTCATGGTCTCACTATTGTGTTCTTCTAAAAGGGAAGCCTTTTATTTTTAAAGTCAAACATAAAAACTACTGTGGGGCTTGGTGCCTGTGGCTCAAGCGGCTAAGGTGCCAGCCACATACACCTAAGGTGGCAGGTTCGAATCCAGCCCAGGCCTGCCAAACAACAATGATGGCTGCAACCAAAAAATAGCCAGGTGTTGTGGTGGGCGCCTGTGGTCCCAACTACTTGGGAGGTAGAGGCAGGAGACTCGCTTGAGCCCAGGAGTTGGAGGTTGCTGTGAGCTGTGATGCCATAGCACTCTACCCAGGGTACAGCTTGAGGCTCTGTCTCAAAAAAAAAAAAAAATTGAATGCTTATATAACCAGCCTTAGAATGGGAGGAAACATTACCACAGTGGAATCAGTATCAGCACCCTAGAAGTCCCCATCATGCCTCCTTCTAATCTCTGTTCTCTTCCCCATCTCCAACAAGATGTATTCATTATCTTCACTTTTATGGTATTTACGTGTTTTTCTTTATGGTTTTACTTCCCTACACTTGTATTGGTTAGTGCATCCTGAACAATGTAAATCAGTTCTGCCTGGTTTTAAACTTTATATAGGCCAGGCAAGGTGCCTCACACCTATAATCCCAGCACTCTGGGAGACTGGGGAGGGTGGATTACAGCCTGAGGAAGAGGGAAACCCCATCTCTACTAAAGATAGAAAAACTAGCCAGGCGTTCTGGTGGGCACCTATAGTCCCAGCTACTTGGGAGACTGAGGCAAGAGGGTCACTTAAGCCCAAGAGTTTGAGGTGACCTATGACACTGTGACCTATGACACCACAGTGCTCTGTCCCCAGGGCAACAGAGTGAGACTCTTATTTCAAAAATGAACAATAAAATAAACGTGATAAATGGACTCATACAGTATATGTATTTTTTCCTGCCTTCTTTTGCTCAATATTATGTGTATAAAATTCATCCATGTTGATGAGTTTAAAAGTAGTTTAATCATTCTAATTGTGTCTAGGATTCTACTGCATGAATCAACACAGTTTTCTTAACCATTCTATATTTGATGAACATCTGAGTTGTTTACAGCCTAGGATTATTATGAATAGTATTGCTATAAATATTCTTATACATGACCTTTGGTACACACATTCAGACAGTTCTATGGATATATACTTAGAAATTGAATTGCTGGTTCATAGGGTAAGCATATCAGCTTTAATAAAGTCTTAATGTTTTATTTTTTTATTTTGGGGGGGTGTTTTTTGCAGTTTTTGGCCAGGGCTGGGTTTGAACCCACCACCTCTGGCATATGGGGCCAGCACCCTACTCCTTTAAGCCACAGGTGCCGCCCTAAAGTCTTAGTTTTTTAAAGTAATTGTGCCATTTACTTCCACAGTGTATGAGAATTCTTATGTGTAAGTTAGCCTACCTGGTAAGTAGGCAGTGGTATTCTCCTTGTGATTTAATTTGCATTCCTTGATTACTGTTGAAGTTGAGCATCCTTCTATGTGTTTATTGGTCATTTGAAAATTGTTTTTTATAAAATTTATTGTCTTTTAAAAATAACTTTTTATTAGGGGATATTTCAAACAGTTAAAAGTAAAAAGAAGGGTAAATGAATCCTCACATGCCAGTCACCCTACCTTTCAAATAGGTTACCTTTCACATGGGAAAGTCATGTTCCGTCTTTACCCATTCCTCTCTCCCTTTTTTATTTATTTTATTGAGACTGGGCTCTCACTCTCTTGCCCAGGCTGGAGTGCAGTGCAGCAGTATGGTCATAGCTCACTTTGAACTGCTGGGCTCACACAATTCTCTTGCCTTAGCCTCCCAGGAAGCTGGGACTCAGGCCCATGTCACTCCAGCTAATTTTTCTCATATTTTTTAGAGACGGAGTCTCACTGTATTGTCCAGGCTTGTCTCAAACTCTTGACCTCAAGCGACACTCTTGCCTCAGCCTCCTGAGTCTCTGGGATTATAGCAACAAGCTATACTCCCTGGTTTGTCCCATAATATTTTGAAGTATAGCCTGACATAATTACTTTTTATTTTTTTGAGACAGAATCTCCCTTTGTTGCCTTACGTAGAGTGCTGTGGTTTCATAGCTTACAGCAACCTCAAACTCTTGCACTCAAGTGATTTTCTTTCCTCAGCCTCAGACTCCCGGGTAGCTAGGACTACAGGCCTACCATAATACCTGGCTGTTTTTAGAGATGGGGTCTTGCTCTTGCTCAGGCTGGTCTTAAACTTCTGAACTCAAGCAATCCACCTGCCTCAGAATCCCAGAGTGCTAGGTTACAGACCTAAGCCACCATGCCTAGCTATACTGGCATAATTTCATCTCTGATATTATAGTATGAGTCTCTATAATAATATAAAAGCTTTTTTTTTTTGAGACAGAGGCTCAAGCTATCACTCTGGGTAGAGTGCCATGGCATCACAGCTTACAGCAACCTCAAACTCCTGGGCTTAAGCGATTCTCTTGCCTCAGCCTCCCAAACAGCTGGGACTAAAGGTGCCTACCACAATGCCCAGCTATTTCTTTTTGTTGTTGCTGTTGGCATTGTTGTTTTAGCTGGCCCAGGCCAGATTCAAACCTGCCAGCCTCAGTGTGTGTGGCCAGGGTCCTACCCACTGAGCTACAAGCACTGCCATAAAGGCATTTTATTGTTGTAATTTGGCCGGGGCTGGGTTCAAACCTGCCACCCTCGGTATATGGGGCCAGTGCCCTACCCACTGAGCCACAGGCGCCACCCATAAATGCATTTTTTTAAATTTTTTTAGAGACAGAGTCTCACTTTGTTGCCCTCAGTAGAGTGTGATAGCATCACAGCTCACAGCAACCCCCAGCTCTTGGACTTAGGTGATTCTCTTGCCTCAGCCTCCTGAGTAGTTGGGACTACAGGCGCCCACCACAATGCCTGGCTTTTATTTTTTTTTTTTTTTTGGTTGTAGTTGTCATTGTTGCTTGGCAGGCCCAGGCTGGATTTGAATGCACCAGCTCCAGTGTATGTAACTAGCACCCTAGCTGCTGAGCTACAGATTCCTAGCCCAAAATGTAGCATTTTGAAAAGTAAAAACCATTCTTAGCTGATCAAACAAATAAATAAGTGTATAAATAAAGCTAAGAAAATCAGAGCCTCTCTCTTCTCTCTCCACTCTCCTGCCTGTCTGCTCTAGTCTTCTCTCTACCCCTCGTCCCCCTCACTCTTCTCTACTCACCCTCTCTCTCTTCTCTTCCCACTCTCCCCTCTTTTCTCTTTTCCTTAATGCTGCTCCACAGCCTCCCTCCCCAACCAATAAAACCTTTCATACA